CAATACTTAATCACAACAATATAATTCAATTTGCTTATCTGTCACTAATTGGCAATTGAAATAAATATGTAATTTAAATAAATCTTAAATAACTAATTCTACTAATAAGGTTTCTAATGTGAAATTCAATATATAATAAAACATCATTCTCCTTGTCAAAAAATTAAAGTGAATGGATAAAGTGAATCAGTTTAAATTGTATTGTGCCAAATAGGAGCATACCTATTCTTTACCCTTTGGTCCAGACATAAAGAACATTGACTAATCCTATGCTTGGTTACTAAATCTGCGACTAGGCTGGGAGGATACCGGTTCTCACTTCGGAGCTCCCACGTTCCCCTTGCTTGAGAGCTAACATCTACACTTCAGCACCCAAACGATAGGACTGAATTGGGGATTTTAGTCTCTCACTCTAAAATATCCAGTTCTACGCCCGATAATTTTATTTCCCTGGTTATTTGCACCCAACTTCTAAGGGCTTTGAACTCCCTGAATCTTGGATGTAATCTTCACTTTAGTTGTAAAACTCAACGTATCTTAACAAATTAATTGGCTAGATTGAAAGTAAATTAAGTTCGAAGTGAAAAGATCATCACAACTTCTTTAACATTTTCATGGCTCAACCAATTCAAATCACCATTTCACAAATTTCAAGACAAGGAGAAAGACAGAGGAAAAAACTACTCAGAACTCATGGGGAAGACACAATAAAACTCGGAATTTATATATAAAAAATTACCCTAAAATATAACGTCATTGTATACGATCGGGTTGAAGCACACATGGATCCATCGCTTTTAAAATCATTAAATCACAAATCTTCCACACAAAAATAACCTGACGTAATAAATGAAGAAGGGGTACATTAATCGGGAGTAGAAGGAATGAGGCATATTACAAAGAAATAAATCAGGATGGACATAGTTAAATGTTTTTTTATAGAACACCTAATACTTTCCCAACACTTGCAACTCTCCCGGAACCCCCTCAATTTTTGGCCAAAATCTTCTTTTAAAGTTGTAGAAGAGTTTTCCCAAGAGTTGCCTAAGCATCCCTCCAAAAATCGTCCACAACCGCCAATCTCGTCGTCGGCGGCCTCTAGGGCGCCGTCCGCGGGCCTTCTAAATTATTTGGCTGGAGTCTCGGGAAAATCTCGCCGTCGGCAACCATCGATGCCGTTGGGCTTGCCGTCGATGCCCTAGTTCAATTCTTCATATTTTGGTCATTTTCGCTTCAAAATCGCTTTTTTTTTTCTCGCTCTTTTTTGCATCTTTTTGCTCCAATGACTATAATTCATCATACCTGAAACAAAATATAAAAAATACCCTTCTTTAAAGTGCAATATCATCAAAAATAGTGTAAAATAGATATGAAAATCTCAACATATTTTCCTTTGGTCAAATTGTAAAGAGAATCTGACATGAAAGAAACTCAAAAACAATTCATCGGAACAGTAAAACAAAACCCAGTGTCACATAAAGAAGATTGGGACTAAGTGTAAAACATTAGTGAAAGTGGTGGCTCAAAACTCGATTGTGTGTTTTATTCTCTAACACCGGTAAAAGACACCAACCTGGCAGTCCAAGGAAGGGCAACTCCTAACCTCTATCAAAGTGATTAATCCGTAGGCCCTTATAAGATCTCATTAAAAATTACTTTAGTTTTTCATGCAAATAGGTTTATTTAACATTCAAAATTAAGCACGTCACAAAAATAGATTTTTTTTTGTTGGGTTTACAATGTTATATATGTTTTGTAAAACACTATGGTCAACGAGCTAATCGTTCTAATCAGACTAGGTGTACTAGCAACCTAAGAGAGCTTGGGGCAACTCCTACCAGAGGTTGGTGAATAACATAATCAGTCTTATCCCATTTCTCGATAGATCCTTGCGGTAGGGGAAACTATTTCAAATCCCATTTTGTATCCCTCATTTAGCAAACTAAGTGATGTCGTCGTCGCCCTCGCCACCAAGACCTCTGGCTCACACTAGCCTGATAATCCATATGTGACATTAAAAAGTATCCCCAATCGTTCACAAGGATTTGAAAACCTTATTCATGACTCAAACCCTTAAGCATTGGGTTTAGATGTAGGAAAAGTAGTGTTTATAGTTGAGGGCGACAACATGAATGCCATCAGTTACATTAGGAGATCAATGGATCAGGGAAGCTAAAAGGATAATGTGGATTAGTGCTACACTTTTGATTTTCTTACTGTCTTTAGACAAGTTATTTTTCATTTTATACCTTGGGGCCTCAATCGAGCTGCTCATTTTTGTGCCGAAAGAGCTCTTACTTTAAGTAATTTTTTTGAGTCAATCCTTGAATCCTCAGAGCTTTTTGTCATCTTTCGACTTGTTTTTTTTATACCTTGAATCATCAGAGCTTTTTGTCATCTTTCTTCAATCATTTTTATGTTTAATGCAAAATGCACACCTTCAGTACCAATGCGAATTTACCAACATACCACAAACTATATATATTATTGGCATTAAATTAAAAAAAAGGATATTTGTATACATGCCATAATCTTTTTTTGCATTTAAAGATCTTATAGTTAAATCATTATATTTTACTATCTAAATTATATCAAAATATATGCATAAAAATATGCAATAATTAAAATAAATAACATTAGTGATATTTTTATATGATTTTAAAATTTTAGTTTTATACAGATAAAACTTAATTATTAAAAAATTATGTATAATTATTTTCAAAAGGATCATTTACATACTTACCACATAATTCTTATATATTTATAGATTTAAGACCTAAACTTTCACATTCTCATAGGGGTATAAACGAGCCGAGCACGAGCAAGCTCAGATTCAGCTCATGTTCGACTCATTAATATTCCGAGCTCAAAAAGTGTGTTCGTGTTCGACTCGTTTGCTTAGCTAGCCGAACACGAACAAAGAGTCGTTTTAACAAACCTAGTCACGTATTCATAAGATGTTAATGATTGTGACAAGATTTAAAACGTAATTTAAATCTATTTTAATAATTTTTATTTTATTTTCTTCATTAATACTTTTAATTGATTATAAATCTTTGTAGTCTTGTAGTCAATTAAATTTTTTAAAAATACTACTCATCAAATATATATATATATATATATATATATATATATA